GATGAATAAGTGTTGGGTGTTTTGAGTGTAGTAGGTTGGTAGTGTTTTTAAATGTACACTACCGTTTAAAAGTTCAAGGGTTTTTGAAAGAAATTAATACTTCTAATTAGCAAAGATGCATTAAATTGTTAAAAGTGACAGTAAAGCTTTCTATTTCAAATTAATGTTCTTTTGGACTTTCTCTTCATTGAAGAATCTTGAAAAAATGTATCAAGGTTTCCACAAAACTGTTAAGCAGCACAACTGTTTTCAGTATTAATAATAAGAAATGTTTCTTAAGCAGCAAATCGGTGCCGCGGTGGGCAAGTGACGCAACCGGTGTTGCGGCTTAACAATGGTATCACCGTCAACACCGTCTATCGCGGCAAGCCTACCGATGACCCCTTTAAAGAAAACAAGGGCCTGATCTTCTTGATATAAAGCAAATCTGCAGGACCGGGCAGTTTTAGCAATGTGGTCTGAGAAAGTCAGCTGATCATCAATCATAACTCCAAGGTTTCTGGCTGTTTTTGAAAGAGTTATGGTTGATGTGCCTAACTGGATGGTGAAATTGTGATGAAATTATAAAAATCTATGCTTTATCTAATTAAATTACAAATAAAACGCTAAGAACTAAAATAAACTGTTTTACAAGTGATTTTGGGTGTCACCACTAAACAATGTAAAATATGGATATTAATTTTGAGATCTGCTTAAAGGTGTTTTAAAATTATTAGTGTTTTTTAAATATTAACATTAGGTGAGAATATAGTCTAAATGTATAAATAAGGGAAATGAGCATGCACAGTTAAATATGCAGACTGATGCATACAAATATAAACCATGAAAGGCCTGCTTTTCAAATGGACACAATTAGATCAAATCAAAATCCCATGGGCTAATCTTTGGCTTGTAAGTAAAGGAAAAGTTGAGGCTCTCCAGAGACTTCCTCTCCGCTGTTGTTGAATGCATTTGTCCAGACAGTCTTAATTGATATTCATATGGAAGATGCCCTGGATGTGAGCTGAAAGATGATTCTTCTCATTCGCTCATTATGCTGAAATGCCCATAATTACAGTCAACCAGCAATAATTCATTCCGTTTTGCATCAAGATCGTTCCCCTGACACGCTCCAACCGAAACCACGCCATGAATAATTCTGTCAATGTGAACATGCACAAAATATGACAGCTTTACCCAACTTAATGATTCATACGCGATATTACTTTTCATTTTGTTTCAAGTCAATTGTGACTACTTTATTTTGAGCTCTTTTTCTTAAACTCTTCTCTTTCTTGTCTCCTATAGTAGGAACTACTACTACATCACGATCTTGAGGGATCCGGTGTGGCGGTACCTAAGCGAATGGAGGCACGTTCAGCGCGGTGCCACCTGGAAGGCCTCTAAACACATGTGTGATGGCCGTTTACCCACCCTGTCCGAGCTGCCCAGCTGTTACAATGGTGACGACTGGTCGGGTTGTTCGTTAGAGGAATTCATGGCTTGTTCTTACAACCTGGCCAACAACAGACAGACCCGTATGCTGGCCGACCTCAGCCTGGTGGGCTGCTATAATCTCTCCATCATGAGTGAGAGCCAGCGCTGGGCCATGCTATTGGAAAGTGCCAAACGCAACTTGCGAAACATGGCCTTTTTTGGTCTGACCGAATATCAGCGTAAGACGCAGTACCTCTTCGAGCACACGTTCCGCCTGTCCTTCATCGCACCGTTCACGCAGCTCAATGGCACGCGTGCTGCGAGCGTAGAGGTGGAACCGGAGACCCAGCGCAGGATTCGAGAGCTTAACCAGTGGGACGTGGAGCTGTACGAATACGCACGGGACCTTTTCCTCCAGCGCTTCCAGTACGCCAGACAGCAGGAGCGCAGGGAGGCCCGGCAGCGACGCCTGCAGGAGAGGCGCAGGTTACGTGCCAAGGTGAAGCCTTGGTGGGGGGTGACTGGAAAAGCTGTTTTTAAACCCACCAAGGAGCCACCAATGACAGAACAATCTCCCGTTTTTTCGGAAGAAAAACAAGCAGATGCTGGACAAATGCTGGAGAGCGAGACAGAAGGACAGGTAGAGGACAACTGGTTAGAGGAGGATGACAGTGAAACCATATTGGACTATTTAGAAAACGTAGAGCAGTGGCGGTAGCCACCGGCTATTTGGGAAGAGGGTTGAACTCAATACCGGACTAGAAAATGGTGATTCCATTTGATTACTTTGGGGTACCTATAATCCTTTAAGCCCAAATCACTGCTAAATATTAGCATATACAGGTTGCTCTTTCTGTGACTAATGCATTTTGTGGAACGCACATCAAAATTCTCATGTATACCGATTCTTAGCACCAGTTCTCTGTCAGATATCATATTTGAATTATCGTCTTGCAGCCTGACTTGTGTCTTTTGATTTGTGAGCTGAAAAGATGATAAAATTCACTGTCCCATCACCACTCTGCCCTTGAGAGAGGGCATTATGACTCCAGGTTGCACCAGGGAAATCGTCCCTGCAATTAATGTACTGAAAATCACTATTGATGAAAAGCATCTGCTTATCGTGAAAGCCAAAGATAGGAATGTTTCAGAAATGCCATTTTCCGACCTTGCTGTTCTGAGGAAGAATGTGGTGGCAGCACGTTTTTATTTACATTCCTTCCAAAAAAAATTTTTTTCAAGTGTCCTCAGCCGTTACAATCCCATGCACATCACAAGTCAGCCTTATGTTGAAGTCCAACACTTGTCTTTGGATTATTTTTTGATTTAAGATGTTTTTGTAGATTTCTTTCTCATACCTTTTATTTATATGTTTGCTCATAGAATCACAGGTTATGGGGTTGACTCATAATATTTTGTTACTTGAAAATAAAAAGCCATTGTGAATCACCTCATCTTATGAATTTATACCACACCATAGGTTGTACTGAGGAGCACCGATTGCTCTACTGGAAAATGAATACAATTTGTGAGTACTAATAAATACAATTTTCTATAATAATCCAAATTGCTTGTGGCTGGTTAAACTATCTCCAAGTGGGTGAGTCAATGTGTTTTGCTTTATTTTCTCTCTACAGCAGATGGAGCCAAAGTAACACTCACTGCTTACGAATGAAAGCTTACAGTAAACTCACTTGATCTGTAGAACAAAATGCTCATTTTGTTAGAGGTTTGTTTGGCCATTTAATCCCACTGGTAACATTTGTGACAAATGTATTTTTCGGGTTTGTAGGTTCTGAAAGTTTTCAGTTGTCAAATTTGGGACCAGTAGGAAAACCTAGAGTTCCATTGTATTAAAGCTAAAAATAAATACACTTATTGTTAGATTATCATTCCCTTCCCTCAAAATTTTATATTTTGACAACTAGTTACAATTGAGAATGAAACGTTTTTCAAAAAGGCGTGTACTTTGTTTCATTGGCCAATCTGAGAAGTAAAATGCATGTGCCGAACAAATTAAATATCTTAAAGCGAAGTTTTTGTTTGTTTAGTTTCTATTTGCCCCCAAAGTACCAGTGGTTTTGAAGTTGTACAAAATTAGTTTGGACCAGGCCAATGTATGTGTTTGTTTTGCAATATAGTAAATAATTTATTATTCTTCTTTACAAATCCTCGTTTTGTACTTCTAATTAGTGACCGTTTTTTTTGTTTTGATCTCTCCGCTGCGTTTAGGCGTGCGTCACTTCTGAACGGAGCATGCGCAGCGCTGACCTCATACGTCATCCGCCCGGAGCTGCTTCCAGTGTACAACAGTGAGCGCAAGCTACATTAAAGTGATTACTACGTTTTGAATATGGATATTTTTCTTACAAAAACGCATCGATTCGCTACAGAAGGCCTTTGTTCACCCCCCGGAGCCGTGTGAGACACTTTTTTTATGGATGGGCGCTTTTTATTTCACTTCTTTTGGACTGATGCATGCAACACCCACTGAGTGCCATGAAACAGCTTGAAAGATCAAAGACAATTTTTTATATTACTCCGACTGGATTCGTCTGAAAGAAGAAAGTCATATACACCTAGGATGACTTGAGGGTGAGTAATTTATGGGCTAATTTTCATTTTTGGGTTAACTAACCCTTTAACCTCCCCTCCCCCCTCAAAACGACTCATCTTCTCTTCCGGTCACGAGCTATGGCGCAAGGGCGGAGCTAGTGACGTGAGGGGTAAACGCGGGGATAAACGACAGGGGGAAAAGCTGATGCTTCACTTTATAGCACTGACACCAGTCATGAGGGAGTACGTTACCCCTAAACATTGAAAAGATATTATGACAACATTACTCTTAGGACATCATTACTCTTAGGACATCGCAAACAAATTTTTTTCATGAATATGACTTAACCTGATGGAGGACGCGCTCAGTCATTCAGGCAGTCTCTCTCTCTTGCGCGCGCGCTGTTTAGGCATGTTTTGTGCCGTTGATCGTCGTTGTCATCCTTAATAAATAAAACATTTATTCATGCTTGGATGTCGGCTGTGAATCCAGTGGAGAGAAATCCCCCACGACTAACCGCAAACTGGCATTCAGATCTGCCTCCATTTTGTTAGCAACGCCCCAGCTTCCAAGATCCAATCAATTCCCGAAGGACGAAATCAAGTCCCGCCCTCTCATTTCAGATGCCGTAGAGAAGAAAAGACTTCCGTTTCATGCCGACTTTAATAATAATTAGACAATTGTGTGACGTCAGGTCATGTGATGTCATCATGGCTACGTCCACGAGAGGGCGACCCGCTCCATGTAGAGTAAAACAGTCTTTTCTAGAATAATCTGGGCTTCATCATCTCATGCGAGTATACATATTTTAATAATACTTAGATTAAATTCTTTAATGTGTAAAGTTTTCTCGTTTTAAAAAATGCTAAGTGATCCTTTAAAACACCGTTTACTCATAAGCAAAGTATAATTTATAGAGTGAGGACGTATCTTCATGTCTAAATAGTTACATAGGCGCTGTACTGTACGATATTTATTGAATGCATTTAAATACTAAAGCCTTAGCGTCAAATATTTCTCATCATAGGTGTCCTCATACATGAGGCGCAGTTTGCGCTGAGGTCGAGTGGGAATCCCCCTAAAATGGAGGCAATACTTGGGAATGCACGTAATGCCGTGCACACTTTCGCTCTACTCCTCCCTTCTGCCCTCCCTCGTCTCGTCTTCTGCCTAGCAGCAGCTAGCAAGTTCGCTTCACGCTTCCCCATCGCTAGCTTCGTCGTTCAACTCGAAACACCCCGCAGCCGCTGGTCATTGTCCGAAGCTTTACGCAGCAAACCGCGCGATCAAAAGCTCTCGGTTCAACGCGGGAACTTTTGCAACCAAAGCGCGCGCCTCACATCAGCCAGTGATCGTGACGTAGTTATTGACAAATCATTATTTCGCTTTGCGCTGCATTTGATGTCACCCGAGCTCTAGCCACGCGTTGTCTGCACAGGTGAGTCATCTGCTTTCGTAAAGACCACTATTTCATATTCTTTAGCCAATCTTGCCGCACACATGTTAATTGCAAATGTGATTGGTGTAATGCATTGCTCGCTGTCACGACTGACGCTCGCTCGTTTATGGGTCTCCATCTCCAACCTTGCTTTTGCGCACATGGCCTCTTCGCACCGTGACGCATAAGTCTAGAATTTAAATTTCTCCATATGCCTAGTAGCCAAGTCTCTCATTTGACCTTAACGCGCAAGCCGTCACTTATAATAAAACGCCAGTAACGCAGTTGGGTGTCACACATTGATCATACACTTGCTGACAAGCTGTTGAGCTTCCCATCGATGCTGTGGGTGCCCTGAGCAGCGCCTAGTTTGTAAACAGGTTGGATGGAGCTCAAACTCACATGTCATGAGCCCCTGCAATAGTCAGGTGCAGTGGGCTGTATATCTTTTCTGATGCTGTATTTTTATGCCTGGCATCTAAAACTAGTAATGCTGTCATGCTGACATTTTAATTTTCATGGCCAGGGCTGGGTGCAGTCCCAACCATAAGGTGTTCACCCACGATAGGAGCTGAATTTGTCCTTGGGTTCCTGGAACATGTAAAAGTTGGTACTGGAAAAGTGGGTGAGGGTGGTTTTGTATCTTGGTGTGTTGAAGTTAAATGTCCTTTGTCCTGCTAACCCTTAACATCATCGGACATTTGCCAGCACAGACAACTGTCTAAAGCTGAATGCTTTAGTTTATTTTGTCGTCCATGTCTGAGTTGTTGCATAAAAATCGATAGTCGTGTGCATTCCTTTAAAAAAAAAATTGAGTCTGATAACCTTTATTTTGCACTGTCAAGCCTGTTTATAGTACCTTTTTAGTAACAGGGTTCCCACAGTCATGGATATTAACAAGTTATTAAAAGTCACAGACCTTTGTGCAGTGAATTTATACGAATACTTTACAGTAAGGTTCTACATGTTGACATTAGAAATAATGCAACAGCAATTTTACAATTTTTTACATACACAAATATTTATAACATTTCAAGTTGCATTAATTTTCATTTACAGAAACAAATAAAACAAAAAGAAAAGAAAAGAAACATTATCCAGAAGAAATATAAATTAAAATTGAACAATAGTATAGTTATTAACTTGAACCTAAATGAATAAATGCACAAAAATGTTAATTGTTAGTTCATTATACATTAATAGTTAATAACATTATTTTAAGTGTTACCATTGTTTTAGTTATACTTTAAAATATTTCATTGGCTGAATATTAGTTATTTGTTCATTTCAGTGTTGTGCCATGTTCAAATTTCAAGATGTTTTCTCAGGAAGAGACATTTGAATACTAAAAAGTATAATTGATATATTCCATCTGACATTGAAAATCAGCTTTTATTTCTGAAGATCCATATTGAAATTCGCTATCAAAAGGGATGTGAACCCTGAGTATGCTTTATTTACCTGTGCACAAATTAAAACCGTAGAGCTATTGAGATCTGGCCAGTCACGTCCCTGAATCTGCCAGTTGTTGCATTGCACTTAGAAATTGCTTCATATTAAAAATGTCATTCATTTGTATCTTATTTGGTTACAGGCCGTAGGTATAGGTTTTATATACACACGACAATGCAGTTGCTTTCAAGTCAAGTGCATACCATAGACCCTACAGTCGTGGTGCGAGAGCACCTGCAGTCGTGTGAGTGGCGGTTGACATTGTTTGATTTCACACCTTATGATGTGCACTGTCAAAGGTCAGGTCGCAGGAGTCCTGCTGCTTTAGAGGCCTGGTGTCTGTCAGACTTCAGTGGCATCGCTGCCCTTTAGTTATGTCTGCGATTTAAAGGTCCTCACATGGCTGACAAGTCATATATCTTGATGGCAGTACTCAGCACGTACCCTGCTTCTCCCTGAGGGGTCTGTTTATCCTTCACTTCCTGATTTAAACTAGAACTAGACCTACATACGGTCAGACAGAACGCTTTCGGACGACAAGCTCCATTAGTTCCCGGTGGTCACGACTGTTCAGGCAGTCGCGAGAAAATGAAAGCTATCCTTGTCGAACGTGTGGGGTTAAATCAGGTGAGCTGCTAAGACAGCAATAACCCTTCACCACACTGGGAGCAGATAGGGAATAAGATATTAGGAAGCCCCTTGACGGTCCCACGTGCACACACTCGCACCTCACATCCGCATATTGCCGCATGTGCTGAAACTGCACCACAGGTTCAGGCACGTTTGCCACCACCGTTGTGGACTTTGCTCTCGCTTTCATTCACCCTATAAAATTAATGATAAGAACAGAGAGTGAGGTTACTGTATACATAAAGCACATGTCCTCATTTCCCCTCTCCCGCTTTGCTGGACCAAATATGGTACGTTATGCCATATGCTTTGAAATGGCAATAAAACGTGTTGCTGGGTTGATAAAGCAACACCATGTACAAATGATCAAACACTGAGCGACTACAGAATATTGATTGAGCTGTCATAGCTAGCTTGCTGTAAATATCAGTTCTCTACCGAATCTATAAGAACTAGACTATTGGGTTCTATAAATATGGCCACTGCCCTCTTTTTTCGCAAGTAGGTTATGACACGCTTGGATTGTGTTACTCACAAATGAGCTTTTAACCACTATTCTGTAAAGTGCAATGCACCATTTGTCCGAGTAAATATCATTTGGGTCACATTTGCACAAACTCAAATGAGGATTTGCCAAGTCTGTGCTTCATTTAAAGCAGTCAACCTGCTTTTGAATGCCTCTGGATGTTTATAATTGCATAAAAAGATGTAGTTGCCATCTTTGATGTCATGTCTTGTTTCTCCACACTAAAAAATTATATGATATGAAATTCGACTTGATTTTTTTTAGCCAGTTTCATTTAAGTTGTCTTGCACAACAAAGTTGATTATACTTGAAAATTTAAGGCAGCAACTGAAGTTACGTTTTTAACTTGAAATAGGTGAAAATTATACGTTAAGGTGAGTTAATGCAGTAGCATGAATTTTAGTCATTTTACATTATTAATCTAAGTTGTTATTTTTCATACACTAATCTATGGTCACACTTTAGTTTGGGGACCAAACTAACTATGATTTTTGCCTCCATAAACTCCTAATTTGCTGCATATTTATAGCTACTGTAGTATGTTAGTTGTTAAGTTGTAAGTTGTTGGCATTTGAGGGATCTAAAATATGATCATGCAGAATAAGGCATTCATATGTGCTTTAAGGGTATTAATAAACAGCCAATATGCTAGTAATATGTAGGGTAATAAGCAGATAATTAATAGTGAGAATTGGTCCCCAAACTAAAGTGTTACCATATTTACTTTTAAGTTGCATTAACATTAAAGTATTATGAACAAATATGAATTAACAATGAACAATAGCATAGTTATAAATTAACATGAACATAGATGAATAAATGCTTATGCTGGTTATTGATAGTTCATTATACATTAGCAAATGTCAACCAGTTGAACGTAACTGTAAAGCGTTACCATTCTTTTGTTATACTCACTGTTTAGATAGTTTTTTGGGTATTTCACTGTTATGTCGCATTAAAATTTCAAGATGTTTTCTCAAGGAGTTTAAATTAATTTATAAAACGGATAGTTCCGGTCCTTGATTCTGATTGGCTGAGCCACGTTCGAAGCTGTTGTAAATTACTCTACAAACATACACCTTTGTTTACATTTGCGTGTTGCTTGGCAACCACTTTGTTGCAACCACAACTGTTTCTGAGGAACTACATTGTTTGGTGGAAGAATACTGTTTTTATTAATATCATTACACTTTATTTGCTGTTTTATT